GCAGAAAAGCCTAGGGAATTATATAAACTGGCGAAGAATTTATTAGAATTTTATAAGCGAAAACTAAGAAAAGTAATGGCAGTTTAAGAAGGTTTTTCCCTGGAAAGTGTGTAGTTTACCAGCTGTGTGACATTTCCTTAGAAAATATGTAATTTACACGGCTTAATCTTTTTATTCTAGTAAATCAAATTATTTTCTTAGTAATAAAATTTTAAATAAATATTTTTATATTTATTGCTATGCCTTAAACTAAGCCCAGGTAATAAAAAGAAGATTTAAGCTACAGGAGAAGGGGGGAAATACTTCTTTAAACTTCTTTCCAGCTTTGTGATATCTCTCTCCCAGCAAGTATTTTCTTTCGGGGTTTCTCAAAGGCTTAAAAAGTAATGAAATGAAGTATTATCCCTGGCTGACTCAAGGATACCCATACCCAGACAGAGGTCAAGTCGTAAGCCAGCGTCCTCGAGCGATATACAAATTCCTGGCGAGTAACCCTTTCCTTCCTACAGATTCTGGAAGAAATGATAAAGCATCATATATACCATATATAATGCCTGCCATATACATACATAAAAAAAATTACAGCATAAATCACACACACTCCACACAACATACACGTACATTTACGGCCTTGCACACACGCACAAATTTTTGGTTGTTGTATTAAAAATAATATCGTCGTCTGGTCGACAAAGATAAGAAAATTTATCCAAAGGATTGCGTTTTGGTGTTATGGCCACCACAAAAATGTGAGGGGGCCAGCAACAGCTCCTGCTCTTGCTCCTGGTCCTCCTCCTTTCCTGCCAGCTCCTTTTGTCTGCGCAACCGCAAGGACAAGGCAAGTCCTGCTTCGACTTGATGCTCGCATTTTATGACCAAAGCCCCCAAGTCGAACTCATCATCATCATCATCTGCTGATTCCAGGGACCATGGGTCCGGACGGGGATTTAGGCAGAGGTCACGGGGGGGTTGGGATGAGGAGGTAAAGGATGAGTCTGGTGAAGGAGCAGTCGCAGGAGCAGGCGCAGGACCGCCAGCTGCGATCTGTGGCCAGCGATAAGGCGGGAATACATTTCATAAATGCTGCCGCGCCGCAAAAAGGATTACGAGGAGGTTGCCACTCTCTGGCTACTTTTACACTGCTCTCTATCACTGAAAGAAAATGGGGTAAAAACTAGGAAATTTGCGGGAATTCTATTGATTATTTTAAGATAATTAAGAGCACAATTTTACATAGCACAAGCTTTAATAAGATTTTAGTTTTAACACCATAAATTGTGTTTTTATTACCCAATAAAAATATTTCTTGAATTCAACAGTTTTTCTACCATTTTCTTTATAAAAACAGAATATTTTTCTCTGTATTTTCCCCTTTAAACTCTCAATATTTCATTATACCCGCAGGATAACTCTCCCTTCTCCCTTTGCTCTGTTGTAATTTATTGTAAAAATAGTATAAATTGTATTTACAAAGCTATTCCTTGGCTCACATCTTAAATCAAAAATCCCCACAACATTTTTTATACAGGATAAGAAAACATAGCTGAGGCTGGTCATAAAAAAAAGACGTTGGTGTGTGTGCTTTACATATATTTTGAATCATAAATCCGGTAAATAGTAAGCACTTAAAACCCTGACGATTTTCTCGCTTTTATAGTGCCCCACATGTCGTATACTTGATATGCCAAACTGCATTTTGAATTTTACACTGAGCACAATAGGGGTAAGGGCTGAGCTGATGATGATGATGATGGAACACTGCAGATAAGGTCGAGCGCCGTGTAATGGTTTCTTTTTTTTTCTGTCTTTCGATTACTGATGTTGATGTTGGCTGTTTGTTGCCTTTTGCCCGCAGCAATTGCACTGCGAGTCCCGCATGAAACCACAAAAAAAAAAAACAGAAAAAGAAAATTCCGATAGGGAAACTTTGAGCTTTCCTCCCCTTGTCCCCTACCCCGGGAAGCCTTGTCAAATGATTAATTACATGCCGAAAAGCTATCTAACAATTTGACTCGTTCGCCGTCTCTGGTTCAGGTTCGCTTCGGTGTTTCTGTGTGTGTGTGGATTGTCATTAAGCCAGAACAGCAAGGGAGACATAATAAAAAATTATGCCATAGATAAAATGCTATTAGAGAGGGGCAACCACACACATAGGGGAGTGCTGGAGGAGGATGAGGAGGGAGGCCAGAGTCACCACTTAGCGCCATTAGAAGGCAGCCAACAGGCAACGGCCACCAACAAGAGGAGCAGCCAACCAAAAAGCCAAACCAACTGCAAAGGGGCCGGGGGAGGCTAGGGCAGGGCAGAGCAGGCAGCTGGTACTGCAAGTATGCAATTCTGCAAGATAAGCCGAAGCATTCATGAATTTCATAGATAAAAACCCAACACACACACATACACACAGCCGCTTATAGATACCCGGGGACAGGCGCTCAGGGAGATGCGCTTACAGTACATTGCACAGGAGCAGCCACAGCAACAGCAACAACAACAACAGCAGGAGCTGGAGCAAATGAAGAGCGCCAAAGTGAGCAACATCATCATCATCATCATCATCGCCAGAAGCAGCACCAGATTCCCGAGCAGCAAGTGGCGCAGGGCAGGAGTGGGAGAGAGAGGGAGGATTGGAGGCGGAAGCCACCACAAACAAACAAACAAACATCCAAGGGGCGGACCCAGAAAAACACACAAGAGATACAAGAGCAATTATTTCACATAGAATATGAAATACTCTACAGGAAAAATTCAGACCACAGAAATTTAGAATGGTTTAAAATGGGTTAAAATATTTTTAAAAGGAATAAAGGAAAATAAACATACAGAAAATGAAGAAATTAACTATAAATAAAACAATAAAATTAAAGTAAAAACAAAAACAAATAAAATTGAAAAGGATTTGAACAATGCAGTCTGATGAACAGGCAATTTAAAATAAAGCAAATGAAATATATATAAAATTAACAAGAAAATTATTATAAAAATTGTATTGTTGAGTTTTCATTTAAAATTAACCAATCTAAAATACGAATGAACAGAATAAATATATAAGTAAAATAAACAAATAAATTCTCATTTTGTAAGAACTTTAAAATACATCAACAAAATTTTCGTAAAAATAATTAATGATATATTTCCATATTTCATATTCAAAGTTATCCATATATATATCTCAATTCTCTAAAATTAGCCTCTAAAAAACTAACCCTGAGTGTAATTAAGGTAATATTTCATTGGATCATCCAACCACTATATCTAGAAAATAAAAGAAAAACCTAGCTCGTGGAAACCCAGCTGCTCTGGATGACCCCCAAACTAAGATCAAGCTGAGCACAGCCTAATCCAATCTGGGCAGCAAAGAAAAGCAATGCAAGTGTGGCTATCTCTCTGGGCACAAAAGTGGGTTCAGGAGCAGGAGGCCAGTGGGTGGCAGCGAAGGCTCAAAAGCCACACCATCGCTACCCCGTTGTTGTTTTTCGTTTGGCCGGCGCTGGCGTCGCCATGGAGTGTCAACCGCCAGATAAAGATTAGCCCAGACAAACGCCCACTTTTTAGGCCAACTGTTCCGCCCACTGGCCACTCGACGTGGTCCGATCCCGGCCCTCTCTCGGTGGTGTCTCTCTGTGTGTCTCTGTGTGTGTGTTTGTGCTGTGTTTGAGCTGGAAATCTTTCACTGACGCAGCACAAAAAGGGCTGAGATTTTGGAGGGGAAAGTGGGAGGAGCAGCAATGCTCCAATTGCCGCCAGTTTTTTGGGGGGATTATTAATGATGAATGCTCGAGATGGCAGCGAAATGGTGCGGAATGTCAAGCGGCAAAAAAAAAAAAGAACGAGAGCAGGAGCGGAGCTGAAAGTCAGGAGATTTAGGGTTGGATCAGCCACCTCAACTAGGCAATGTTTTACAGGATAATCGGAAGATTCATAGTTGAAAGTTGGCTGTAAAAATTGAATTTAATAATAGAATTTTCAGTAAATATTTAGGGAAGGTAACAATCATGAAGTGCAGGTTTTTCACGAGAATTATTAGGAATAATTTATAAAATATTAAATTCGTGCCATAAAAAATCTCCTAAATTATTCTACCAAAAAGAAATCAAGTTATATTACTTCTTCCTAAAAATCCTAATGTTAAGTTCAGGGAATAAATAAATTCCCATTAACTCGAAATAAACTTGACGATAATCCTGGTGGCTTATTACCAACCCTTTATCTCTGGAAAAACATTCAATTGGAAAAGACAAATCCGCTCCTGGGGTAAGCCGGAGAAGGGTTCGAGTGTGGGAAGCCAGACCTCCTCGGTGGGGGGGTCAGAGAGACCATCGTCTCAATGACGTTGACACTGCTGATGATTATGAAGTGATATGAAATTGATGCCAATGATGTCGGGAGTGAAGAGTCAAAATGCCACCCAGAAACTAAGGGGGAGGATTTTCCAGACCCGTTGTCATTTCCTGCAGTCCATCGGAACAGCGATTGAAACGAGGGTTGAGTTCGAGAGTTCACCCCATTTTTGCCACAGCGAGAAAGGGTTTTTCTGAGGTCTGTGGAGGTGTCAAAAATCATCAGAAAAACCACAGGACACAGGACACAGCCCACAGGATGCGGGAAGAGAGCAGAGCAGTGCCTTTGCACTGATAAAAATTGTATTAAATTAGAGAGAGCTCGTCGTCTTCATCTTTTTTGGGATTAAATTTTTATTGGCAGAATATCAGCAGCGGCAGGACGATGTCCTGACACACACACACATACACAGACACACATTGAGGAAATTTATTATTGGGCATTAACGGGTTATGTCGGTGTCGCCTGCTTCCTGCATTCCCCGAGATAAGAATTTATTTTTTGGCTTTGGCCCATTTCGACTTTAAGCCGCAAACTTATCGCGGATTGAGCAGCGGACAAAAAAGGACAACTGGACTGGTTGACACTCGGCAGGATGTGGCCTGCTTTTGGGCTAGACTTCTTTCTTATAAATTATAAATGGAGTTTATCTGTGGACTTACCTCTGCTGTCGACAGTCATGTCTTCTGTGGTATCGGAACAATCACCTTAAAAAGAAAGAGAGATGTTTTAGAAATGACTTCCCAAATAAAAAATAATACCCTTAAAGAAAATGGATTATTTATCCATAATTTATCCATATTTCTATATGATCATTTTGTGTGGAATATTAAAATTTAAAAATATCATAACTAAGTCAAAAAAGCCCTAAATTCAATTCGGAAAGCTTTTCTGTGCTAGTTTTTTGTAGGTTAAAAAATCTGCATACTAAAATTTAAATTTTAAGAAATTCAAAATTTTGTGAATTTTTGAGAATTTTAATGATGTAACCCCTTATAGAATTTTCAAATTTTGAAAAAAATTAAAATTTTTTTATTTCTTTCCGGCATAGCTAGAAAGACTCGCCTGTTGATTCTGATCAAGAATATATATGGTTTATAGGGTCGGAAATGAGTCTTTCACTATTTAACTAACTTCTGACTGAAATATTAATACCCTGCAAGGGTATAAAGACATAGAGTATCTTAGTTCTTTAATATGGGTACCTTATATTTCAAGAACTATTCTACCTACTGGAAGTCTTAACTCTACATTAAACCCTTAAGAAAGCTTATGAAACCCTGCAATTATTCATATTCCCTACCAAAACTATACCCTAAAGATGACCATCTAAGCGAAAGATACAGAGACGTGGGCTTGCGGCAAGGTTCGAATTCAAGTCCGAGTTCCGAATTTCATGGATACCAAAGGTCTTGGGCTAATAGTCGTTGATATTTATCGCAGATAGTTCCAGCCAAATGGCTCTCGGTGCTCTGAAAGCGATAATAATTGCTGCCGCTCATTGTTTGTACAACCATTCGCAGTAGTATCTGAGAGTAACCGAGTATCTGAGTATCAGAGTATCTCAGCATGAGTGTCTTTACCAGCTCTTGGCCCTACTACGCACAGTAGTTGGATGATAGTTGGCGGCGAGGCCGGTGTCCAAGCCTTCACTTCCACTTCCATTACTCCATTACTCTACCCCCTCTTCCCACTCTTCGTATCTCTGGCTCCTCATCCAGTCCTCTTTGTGTTGTTTTTCTCATTTTTGATTATATTTCGCTGATTATTCACTTCGAAGGAATTATAATAACAATAATAACAACAATCCGGCAGAATTCCTTCGTTTTTATTTCAGCTTCTTCCTCGCTCGCTCGCTCGCTGGCCGCAGATTGCAGATAGCAAAGCACACACACACACACAGATACGAATACCCACACTCGCAGAGCTGCAGATACATATGAGCTGAGCTCGACTGAGCTGGCCGTGGAATGAATGTGAAGCCACACAGCGCAGATAGGCGACTGATAAGCAACTGAAAGCTGGCTGCCATGGACGCGGACGCGGACACAGACATCGACTTGGACTTGGACTATAGTGTCGGGCCAGGGGACCCTTTCCCGCTCTCTCTCTCTCTTTGGGTTTTCCCCAACTGCTGGCAATTGGCGGGATTTCTGCAGTTGCAACACCCACACATGGCCTACAGGTTGAAATTAAGCGGGAAAAAGTGTCTAAGACTGGCTAAAAGTGGGGCTAATATGGCTATGCTTTTAGGGAAAATAGGGAACATTAAAAGGGAAGCTAGTTTTCATTTGTATAATTAATAATTTGAAAAATTTAAATTAATTTATTAAAAAAGTATCCTTAAACTGAGACCTCGTTTTGATTTGAATAAATAATATATTGTAATTTTAAATTGATTTATTTTATATTAAATTAAATAATTAAATTAAGGGGAGAGGTAATTTTCATTTTAAAACCATTTTAATTTCAGCTTTTTACATTTTCAGTGTGGGTTTTTAAGTTGTATTATTTATATTTAATTTATCTTTAGTTTATTTATATATTCCCTGCATTCTTTTGAATCTTAAGAAAACTTTATATTAAGAAATATATCAACTTAAATTGCTGTTAAATCAACATAACATGAACTTGAAATCAAAAGTTTCTTGCTTTGCTTTCCAAGAATGAGTGTTCTTCTTTCACTTTTATTTCTTGATAAAGTTGTATGTATAAAGAATAATCTGTATTTAAAAATACTTAAGACATTGTCGATAAGTTTTTACTTTTTCCTGGAATCAAATACTATATAAATAAGTTAAGCCCGGCTTTTAAAGAAATGATGAATATTTCAACACCTAAAACAAGTTTTAATTATAATTTTTTCTGTATGTTATTGTAATATTTAAGATTCACCAAGCTTACCCTACATTTTTAATCCTAAGGAGGTTCTATTTATTATTTTCCTTTAATTCCCTTGCCTCCCAGTTTGTCAACTCTACTCAAATCCCCTTTTAAAACGCTTCTCACCTCTGGAATTGCTGCTAAGCATGGCTGTCATTTAAGGTAATCCACTTTTGGCTGCTAATCCCGGCTTGTTTAGGTGTTCCTTTTGGTTTATTCACTCTGTTATGACTCACTCATGCTTTTGCTTTCGGTTTTGAGCTTGTTTTGATTTGTAATTATGTGGTCACTTCACTTGGCTTCCCGATTCTCACTTCACTGTATTCAAATTTCATTAAAATTTATTCAAATTTTCGCTGTGACGGACGTTTCGAGTGTCGCTTGTGCTTTGTGCTCGTGCTCGTGCTTTGTGCTCTGGTACCGCTCGTGGTTGCTGCTCGCTTCGCGTTCCACAGCCAACTGAAAGTGAGTAATGAAATTTCAAGCGCCTCGTCTCTCTCTCTCTGTGTATCTGAGAGATACAGATACAGGCGGCAGCGGCGGGGCAAGCAGGCAGGCAGAGATACCGAGCGAACCGCCGAGTGACGATGACGATGACGACGCCGAAGCGAAGAGTGAAGTGGATTCCGACCAGCTGATGTTTGTTGATGCCGGGAACCAGAGACCAGACCCAGAGAGAGAGAGAGAGAGAGACGGAGAGTCTTGAGGGGAACCGGAGGCCGGGATGTTGTTTATCTTTCGGTTGCCAGCGTCTGCCAGAGCGTCTATCTGCTGCCCTATCTCGAGGCTGGACTCGAACTCGTTCTCGCATTGGGATTCGGATTGGTACTGAAATAAGATATCGCCCGAGACCCAGAGACCGACGACTCTGCTGCTGCGGTCGACTTCCTTCGCTCGCCTCGGAATTATTCGAAACAAAAACTGATAAAGCACTGATAAGAGCGCAGCGCGGCGAGCGCAGAGTTAGATAACATCGCGAGCAGCGGCTGAAATAAACTCAAAGCCCAACAGAACCGAACTGAACTGAGCTGAGCTGAGCCAACTCAACCAGCAGCGAACGGATACACACACTACTCACTGCAGATACAGATACCAAGATACCCTCGGCCGAGGGTGTGTGTGCCGTGCTGTGCTGTGCTGGTGCTTGTGCTGTGCCTGTGTGTGCGCGAGGGAGATGCTTTTCAGCGATATCGCGTCTACGGCTAATGGAATTCTGATTATTGCTTAGTGATAAGCGTTTTGTGTTTAATTGTATCTCTGTATCTGTATCTGAGTGCACTGAGCGAAATGGGAGGTCGTGTGGTTACATTGTCGGGGAAATACAGAGAGTACTTGGTAATTTTTTGTAATTATTTGTTTGGAAATAATTAAGATAGTTTGTAGATCTAGTCAACTAAATATGGTTGGTATATAAAATTGTATCTGTATTTGTATATAATATAAATATAAATATTAAATATGTAAATAAATATTAAAACCAGTTGGGAATTATAGTGCCAATGTAAGTACAAATAGGAAAAGTATATCTAAAATGCCTTATGTCGCTTTGCCTAAATTAAAAGCTTAACTTTCTTCGCAGTGACATTCTCCTCTCCTCCTTGGGTTATCAGTCACCTGCTCCCATACCCATCGACATCCACATCCATCCATTTTCCATCTATCTCCATCTGCATCTGCGCGTCTCCATCATCTCCATTCTGCAGTTTTTGGCTCACGGGGGCTTTTGTTCCAGCTTTTTCTCAGTTTTTCCTTTCGCGACTTATCGGTAGCCGTAGATCTATTTTTATGTTGCTTCTGCTACTCTTTCTCCTTCTTCTTCTTCTTCTTCATCGTGTGGCCACTCCCCATCTCTCCGCCCCTTGTGATTGTTATCAGCGTTTGGTTTATTTCCATTTCCCTGGCAACTTTGCAGATGCAAAAAACGTTTTCTTCTTTTTCCCAGCGATAATAATCTACCAGAGGTTTCTCTTTCTCCTCCTCTCTCTCTCTCGCTATCAGTGTGTTTGTGCCATGGTGGAACCACATAAGGTTGTCTCTGTGGACTGTCGCTTGTATATGGAAAGGTTTATCATCCTGATGAGAGCTAAAGAGAGCACCTTGTGTCGTTGCATTATGCTCTGTGCTCTCTAACGCCTCTCTGATATCTGCTGCTGCTCTCTCTTCGTTTGAAGCCGCTATCAGCTGTTGTTGGCAGCATGTTGCGCATGCGTTGTGGTGGCCTAACCCACTCTATCCACCCTGGCAACACCACTCCTCCTCCTCCAGCTCATGTTGTGCCTGTGCGACGATTATCTCGTTTTGCCATTGTTGACTTTTAATTAGATTCATTAAACGTGCCGCTTGCCGCTGCCAACTCCCTTGCAGCAACCCCCTTTGCGATACCACACAGCTGGGACCATGGCACGACTCTTAGATACCCTGGCAAAAAATAACCATGAGATAGATAGTGTAGTTCAGGGACGCATAATTATCGACCTACGTGAGGCAAAACTAAGGGCATTTTTATCGCAAAATGCATATAATTTTAATCTGATGAATTAAACGGTTTCTTAATTTTTAAAATTGATTAAATAAAAATAACAAGGCTGCTTATCCTGGGAGCCCAAGAGTTTCTATGGTTCTTTAGCTTAGAAGCCCTTATTTTCAAGGGTATCGCCTCGTTCGTTCACTCCTAACTGGATTATTATCAAACTTTTAGCCTTTCTTGCCGCCTGCTCATGTGTTAGAATATATTTACCACAGTTTGTGGGTGTTTTTTCTGTTGTTTTTGTTTAATGTTTTTTCTTTTTTTTTCTGTTTTGCTGCTTATGCAGCGATAAACACT